AAAAAAAAAAAAAAAAAGGCTGAACTTTCAAAGATACAGCCATTGATAAGAAAAGCTAAATGTTACTTTTTTGAACAGTATGGTACTTATTCCGAGTCCTCAGAAGTTAAGGTCCCTGGATCAAGCCCTGAGCAAACCAGAGGCCAGATAAGCAAGAGGGAAAAGGCAAAGGAGTGCGTCAGAAGTAGCCACAGTTCACTCATGGATTCTCACTCCTCACTCCTCATTTTCATTACACTCCCACTTCTGTTGAGCTCTGTCTGTTCCAAGGGCTGGACGACTACCACAGATCACAGCCTGCAACTTTGGTTTTTAATTTTAAATGCCAGCCAGAAAAAGAAAAAAAGAGAGTCAGCATTTCGAGCAAGAGCGGAGTTAACGTTTGTTCCAGAGTGGCTGCTGGCCGCCCCGGATGTGCAGGCGGGCCTCTGGTATTTAGTTTCTGCGCATTCTCCTTGGATTCACTTTTCTATCCCGTTTTTATCTCAATCTGGCAAACCCTTGGGCTACGGATATGAAGACCCATTAGATACAACTCATTCTGATTAGGATCCCCCCAGCCCCCACGCGTCACAGATCAGTGTGATTAGGTCACCACACCACCTCTTTGCCACACATTCACAGTGATCATTTCCAACGGGAAGAAATCAAATTCTCCGCTGCCAAGTTCAATGAGAGGGGTGGCTCCTCACATATGCCTTTCTGTACAGACAGGTATGAGCAACTACAAAATTGTTTCTTGATCCTATTAAATAACCTGTCCTTAGAACTATGTGATGAAGATGATAAATTTGTAACATCAGCCGGAACCAGGTTCTAACATGGAAAGAAAACTATTCCAAACCCCATTATCCGTAAGCTTTATTCAACCATTAGACTTACGCTGCTTATAAAGACAAGAACCCGACGCTTTTACTGATTACTGACGCTGTATCTTCACTCAGGGGTCTGTTCTGTCTGTTCCCCTACTTGCTTCTGTCCCTCTTCTCCCTTCCCTTGAACCTGTCTTCTCTGAAGTCCCTCTCTCTGTCCCAGTCATTTTCGGGCCACACCCTGGGGGGCTCTCTTTCTTGCCACCTCTTCTCCCGGCCCCTGTCGTGGTCTCGATCTCTTGTCCTTGAGTCCCAGTGTCTTTCTCGGGATCGAGATCTCTCCCTTCTTTCCCTCTTTCCTTCCCTATAAAGGTCATTTTTAACAACTGGCAAATTAATGGGTTTTCGGAAAGGCCGATCCCGTCCCCCAAATCTCAGTTGCCCAGATTCCTTTTTCCCCCCGAGACCGCCTCCAAGTCGCCGAGGGATCCACCCTTTGAGAGTCCTTTCCAGCTCATAGTCCACAAATATCTCATGCTGGTCAATAACCAGGCCGTCTGCATCTCGGTAGGCTTTGATCACGGCACGCTCCTCCTTGTACTCTATGAAGGCATAGCCCTTGGAAAAGCCCGTGACCAAGTCCCTCACCAGCCGAAGCCGCCGGATGTCACCATAGCGGGAAAAGACTTCCTTTAATTTGTCCTCTTTGGTCTGCAAGTTTAGTCTTGCCACAAACAGGGTGAGAAGGGGGTCTCCTGTGACGCCTTTGTTGGGGACGTATCGTGCCAGCATCGCCCGCCAGACCGCACGATCGTGTGGGTCTTCATCCGTGCCGTCAATGCTGCCAGCTTTGAGCGGATCATACTCCTTGGCGATGGGCACCCAGTCGTTCATGTTCTAAGAATGATAACAGCAAGTGTGTATGGAATACATGTATATCCACTCACGGACACTCATGTGTCCATTCGAGCCACTCATCAAACCCTTACAACAAGCCCATGAAGTAGATACTACTCTGGACCCCTTCTTGAAGACAAGGGAGAGGATACCCACAGAGGCGACGGCCTCCCAGCTAGTAAGTGGGGCAGATGGTAGCAAAGCCAGGCAGTGGGGCTCCAGAGATGCCCCGAGCCACTCCTCCAAACACCCTCTTGGAAAGCTGAGGGCAGCATGCTTGGATTTCACCCGTATGTGTAGCATCGGGCTTAGCCACGTAGGGCGATTACCAACTACACTGTAACATGGCACCATACATCAAAGCCAGGCTTGCCTTTCACAGACTTTAAAATGATCATAGGAAAACCAGCCTAGGAAGTGCTGCGGAAAACGGCATTTTTAAAAACTCTACCACCAAGAATTTCAAACATACACCAACACAGAGAACTGTACGGTGACCCTCCATGAACTCCTCACCTGGCTCAACGAGACCAGCACACATGTGGGGAGAATATTCTGCCCCCAGATTATTCTGAAACAAATTCTAGATATTACATCATTCATCTATACATTTTTCAGCACCACTAAAAGATAAGGACTTTTAAAAAACAAAACTATAAGTGAAAATGTTGATTTGCATGCAGCGTTTTGCAATAAACAGTAAAGCTAAGACTACAGTGAACCAGCTGTAGGCTCTTTGGTTCGAAATGATTGTGGGATTTCTTCTCAGCTCCCTAGCTGATCATCCATTCTGCTTCTCACTGCAGTGGTAATTTCCACCCAGCAAGCACACTGCAGTTGTCACTCCCTCTGACGCATGGTAATTAATTCATGTGACTCTTCGCTGGAATAGTAAGGTAAGCACACTGCAGTTGTCATTCATTCTGATACGTGATAATTAATTCATGTGAATCTTTGCTGGGATAATAAAGTGCTTGCTAACATTTCAGACTCAGTAATGCCTACGTGACCTACTCTGTAAAACTTTAGAGGCAATGCTGAAATATACTACTTAAAAA